GTCTTTTAGTTCAATGAATTTTCTTTTTTCCATTAGATTTGAACTTATTTTTCAATCTTTTTTATTTCTATTTATAAACTTTTTTGTGTTTAATGATTACTGTTTGTATTTGGTCTCTAAACATAGAATGATATGATATCTCATAATATTCTTTATTGCATACAATTGAATACATTTGTGGCAATCAACTTTTCAATCATTTCAATCTTTTTAATAACTAAGTCTTATGTCTACTATATTAAATTCATATTGAAAGTCATAGTATCAAACTTATACAATAAGTTTGTGAAACAATTTTTAGGATTTGGATGGTTTATAAAAAATTTAAATATTCTTATAATTAAATCATATAATTAAAAATAACTTATGTTTTAAATCTTCAAATTATGGTTTAAATTTTACTAGCTTATTCATTTATCAGAAAATACACAATAATAAGTATTGAAAAACAATTTTTCTAATGTAAATGTTTGCTATTATCTAATACTTACAAATATGATATATTTATTAAACATTTATATTCATTAGTAAACCTTTCTATTAAAACATACAAACATAATGTTAATGTATTGAAAAACAATTTTTCTAATGTAAATGTTTGCTATTATCTAATACTTACAAATATGATATATTTATTAAACATTTATATTCATTAGTAAACCTTTCTATTAAAACATACAAACATAATGTTAATAAAATAATTGAGTTTACTTTAAGATACTATAAGTTATAACAAAAAAGATACAAAGACAATGAATTTCCGTAAATTAATGGTTCAAAAGACTGTTTCAATAAATATTTACATTAATTAGTACTCAATTAGCATTTATAAGTTTAAGATGTATTTTCGGAAAATATTCTCATGATAGAGTATGTTATAACTTAATTATTATACAAAAATCTTAATTTTATTATCAACTCTAATATTAACAATAGATTAATTTTTACTAGTTGTCAATAAAAATGACAATTAAAAGTTTATTGAAATGCTGTACCAAATGAAAAGTATAATTTGATGTAAGCTTTGGATGCATTCATAAGAATTAATAGAATCGATAACAAGTCGTTCACACTCTCATTGAACGCCTATTCAAATAATTAACTCATTGTCTGTTGTGTTGAGCTATGGTTTGACTTCACTCTCTATTACACGAGCCGTTTGTTTGAGTCGTTCCTCTCTTTCAATAAATATATCCCAAAATTCAAATAAATATCTCTTATCTTATTCTGCAACCAATTCCAAGACATTCAACCGATTATAGCATTTAATCTCGCGTTTCAGTATCGAGTCAAACAATACTTCACCAAAATATGTTTCCACACAATACCCGACCCTTAAGTTCATTGACTATCGCATCAAATACGAGTCAAAATAAAACTAATCAATAAATTCACACCAAAAGTATACAACACTTTCGGCATCAGAATAACAACTATTATATAGTTTTTCAATTACTTCAGTCAAAGTCATATAAAATTTATTACAAATATTTTAATAAATTCTGTTTCAACATTGTATTCATAAAGTGTATTAATACATGAAAATATAGTCATATTATACAATAATTTACTTCTTTTTCTTTTTAGCTAAGTTTGTCTCGCAATTAGAAAATGATTTTCTTTTACACAACTCTTGCGCCTCTTGGATGAGATGGCAATAACCGCAACCATTGCAGTGATTCCACGTATTCTTTACACATCTCTTGCATATATAGCAGTGATTGTATGGCTTTCCATCCCTTGCCGTGCAGTCATTGCATTCAAAGCAATGTTTGTTATTTTTTGAGACATATTTATCGCAATAATCGCAATAATAATAGCCTTCAGTTTTGGGCAAAACAATTGACGACAACTTTATGTTTGTATAGATTCTGACCGGAGATCCAAACTTACGGCCAGAATCTGTGGCTTTGAATTTATGGTGATTTTGATAGTCAACCATAAAGTCAGACATTGAGAGCACAGGTATTGTAGTTGTGATCCGTTTTTCGTTGAAATACGGAAAGAACAATAAAATGGGAATCATTTGACTTTCATCTGATATTTGGTTACATTTGCGCCAAATGTCACTCATTTTGTCTATTGTTTTGGCCATCGCTTCAATTAGACCACCGAATGGCGGATCTATTAATAAGACAATCGATTCTTGGGATGACTTTCTAATAAAACGCACAAAAGTCTCCTCGTCTTCAACACCACCGAAGAAATGATTGTTAAATAAATTGAATTTTAAATACTTTTTTCGTGAATAAAATTGTGTATATCTGTCGTCGATGTCTAATAAAATGCTTTTCATTTGGAGTTTCACTTTCCGACACGAAATGTACTCGTGAACTGTGGGACAACCAATACTTACCACACTTTGGAACCCATTCTTCGCGAGTATATCATTAACTATAAACTCAAGAGTTTTGTCTGAAAACAAATATTGAGCACAAAATTTATTATTTGTTAAACTGTTCATCAGTTTCGTTGGTTCGCGTAATTGTCTGCCAGTTATTCCACTCAACACTTCGTGGCTCTTGTGATCAGACAATTCATTGACTGATGAGATAATTAGCGAACAATTGCGACAAAACTTGATCCCATTGTCTGCCATTTGTTTGAGACATTTGGTGGCAATGTATTTGCGATTGTCATCGGATTGTGACTTCATGTCCACGAGTTTTCTCAAATATTTAGCTTTGAGTTTAGGATTGGTTTGTATTTGAATCCATTCCTCTGAAGACATATAGAAATCGCAGTCTTTTCTGTTCCGACACGAAGAACAACAATAATATCTTCGGTTAGTCTTTGGGCTCATCTCTTGCAACAGAAGAGTTGGTCCGTGTCTGCAGACCGGGTGACCATTGAGATCACTGTCCACTACAGAAATACGCGCGACGGGTGGCGAAGAATCCATGGTTTGTCTGGTGAGGCAAAGGCTGGTTGGATGCGATGGTGTGCTGAAGAGGTGCTCAAGAGGTGACCAACCATTCAATAACTCGTGTATTCATCGGTTGTTTACATTTGAGGCAATGCTTGGAGTGAAGCGAGAAATCCCTGGTTTTGAGACAAAACCCCAAATCAGGCAATGCTTGAGTGAACGAGAAATCCCTGCTTTTGCGACAAAACCCCAAATCATTGTTAGTTTTTGGGGCGAAAGCAGTGTTTGAGGGAAACAAACAAACCTCTCATTCAATGCTATAATGAACTGAAATAATGAGGAAATGAATGATTAGTTAATTGACTGCCAATTGAGTGACAACTGAATCCATCGGCTCTTCGAGT